ACACAGCTGAGCCTGAGTGGGGATTCTCCGACTAACACAGCTGAGCCTGAGTGGGGATTCTCCGACTAACACAGCTGAGCCTGAGTGGGGATTCTCCGACTAACACAGAGTCAGTTGGTTAGAGAAATACAATTTACAGTGTGCGCCGTTGAAGCAGATATATATGTATAATAGACCAAACAGTTTCATTACACCCCTGTTGTGCAATTATCAACGACTTACTAAATTACACCCACTGGGTGTGAAGAGTTGACCAGAATGGGCTGTTTGACCTGTTGCGATGCCGTGTACCAGATCCCGACACGGATTATGTGCTTCGTCCTAGTAATGGTACAGGGTGGTATCCTTGATTACTACCTTGTCAACAACAAGAACATCTACTGGTACGCCTGGGTGGCAGCTGATGTCGCCCTTGGACTCGTCTTTGTCATGACCTTCATCATATCCTACCGACACCTGAGCGTTGTCCATCAATCCCGTGACTCTGCTTCTTCGCCGGTCCAGACAGGTAGCCTCCCTCTCGGCTACTTCGCCTGGTTTGTATATTCATTATTCCTCGGAGCACGAGTGTTCATCATATACCGAGATGTCGCTTGGACGTTAAATGAAACCAATGTTTTTGGTCCCAACGCCCTCAAGATAACAGTTTCTGGTACCGGCTTTGTGTTTCTGTTGTTATTAATGACACACCACGATGCCGTTCCTGGTACCACCAGGAAGAGCTACATAGAGGAACTAACGGGAACTGTTGTGTTTGATGTGCTCGATGCAATCGATGTCTTAAACATTTTTTTCAATAAATCACAAATAGACGAGTTACCAGACGAACTGGAGATCTCAATCCTTGTCATTGCGTGTGTGAATTTTCTTGTGCCTATTTTCCCGTTGATGACATTAAGTCGAATGCACTATGGACACAAACCTCTATCACACTGTCTGTTTGTGTTACACAAACTAAGTCTCGTGTTCCTGATCAACCTGCCTTTGTTTATTGTGAGGATGTTATTGTGGCATGTCCACAGCAATGATATATCCATATTTCCCATGAAAAACCTCATCATGATTTTCCTGGTGTTTCACGACCTTTACGACAAGCGTCGAGCCAGTGCGCGACCAAAACATGTGAATTACATTGAGGAGAAAGACCAGAGCCAGATAGAAGAACTTGAGGAAAATAAAGCAATGTTTACTGTCGAAAGTACTAAATAGGATCACTTCAAGATTTTTGACAAAAAATATTTATTATGGGATCCAGATGTATTCAAAATGATGCCAGAGGTTAAAAGGAAACCTGGCTGCGGGATTATGAATGTGTCTAATAGACTATAATTGTAAGTCAGAATTTCAATTGTTTATTAATTATTATAATGTTTACATGCTTCTCTTGGAAACTAGTCAAAACTAGAGAAAGAATGCATTTTCACTGAAATATGTTTAGAATAACCCTGAAAAAAAAAAATCAGAATTTATTGTATATGGTAATCATGGGACCAGAACTGAAGTATTGAAAATCTGTAAGCAGCTGTTGTTACTTTTGCAATTTTGAATTCATCCAGTTGAGTTGTTTGGAGGATGATCTTAAAAATGGAATGATTTACAGTCGGTAGTTTGATTTAAGAAAATATTAATTGTGTGAATTCATAACCAGAATCATTGAAATGATACATGTACGTGTTCTGAGTGTAAGAACTGAGCAGGGCTAGACTGGGATTCAAACACTGCAAGGGCTCCAGATTGTTAAACTATCGTTCTAACCGATTGGCAAAGTCGTCATTCAGTTATATCCAATGGAAGTTAAGAGGAGACTATTGTATGTACGAAAAAACACACAGTGCAGTGGGACAGGGATCCTTAAGTACTTATAGATGGTTAAAAGTTAACAAGAAAACAAATAGTTTTTTTAATAAGGAAAAAATAAATCACATTTCTGATTTACTTACCAGATTTTTTCATATTTTTTAATAATTGTTTTGTTCTGCAAATAACTGATAGAAGCTTTGTAGTGTACAAATTGAGCATGGACTAGGAAAGAAAATTAGATCTGGCCAGATCAAATGTGATCAGTGTGTTAAATTCGTGATTTCAATAAGTTATATCCCCCACTTCTAAAGTTCATGTTGTCTTAAAAGTTTTTAAAGAAATGTGTTTGTGATGAATGATTACCAAATAATACAGTACACAATATTCGTTTTCACTGCCGCTGATAATCCAGAAAGCTCACAGTCCAGACAAGCTATGTTTGGATCTGGTATCCTTTCTTGTATAATTATACATAATTGGTTCGTTTACATGTAGAACGGAAACTGGAAATTCAAATTTGTTTTAGAAACCATACAGTGTAGTATTTAATATGTTACATTTACGCTATGATTTGTAAGTCCCTATACAAACACTACCAGAAAACATTGAGTTTAAAGGGTTATACAACGGGGATCAGTGTCATTTTGATGTTTCTCTTTGCCTCCCATATCATTAAACCACCATAAGTTGCAAACATTTAGGTGATGTGTGGCTATTCCAGGAATATTGTTTGACTTATGATACATACTTTTCAATACTGCTGATATTGAGGAATATTCATATCTGAATCACTAATCAATATAAATTTGGACCTTTAAACCATTGATATTAAGAGTTCCTTAGAAACCCAATACTATAGTACTGCTGATTATTGAAGTATAGAATCCTATGCCTAGTGCATTTGTGTATACATTAATTCTTTGTTACAATGTCTGCTTTAAAGATCTGTTTGTTATAATTTTGAGTAATTTAAGCATTATCATTAATAATTATCATGCTTTTCTTTTGGTTGAAATTAAAGATGTCATTAAAAATTGAAAATGCATTTTATGGTAGATATAATCTGATACACTTCAAAAATTATGCAGATGGCATATAAACTGAACCAGGTTTATGAGATTTGTATGAATGTATTTACGAGTTTGCCATGACATAATCCAGGGGTGCAGAGAATGTAAACGAAGCGAACATAACCCCTGGAGTTTCAAGGATGATAGCCAAAGGGCCAACACATTATCTCCGTCTCCAAGTAGGATGTGACAGCTTATAACATGACAATGAAATAACATTTTGTGGCATTTTTACTGATGTTTATTAGGTATGGGTGGGCTTAACCAGGTATGGGATTATTTCTGGAAAAATACAACAATCAAATAAACTACGTAAATTGCATGGGAAGTAAAATTTGTTATGCTAAACTATGAGCTCTATGACAGCTAGACTTCAGGATCATAAGTAAAATAATTGCAAAAAAATAACTTGAAGTCTTGAACTGAATAATATATATATTTATTTATTTTTTAAATTTCTATTACACATTGGGTTTTGTTTCTTTGCTCGTTTTAATTGAATCTCCTGTTGAACTTGATCTTTTAGACTTGATTATGAACAAAATATTTGTGAAGTACCACTATTGTGCAATACTTTAGTGTATATGTCCAGATATAGTATTGTATGCTTTTATTTGTTACTGGTTGTTCAGAATGCTTTGTTAAGTTTTTAAATTGTTTTTCTTTGTAATATAATCACTTTATGAAATTTAAATGATTATTATGATGACTTGAGATTTGAATTAGCTGGTAAAGCATACATGAAGCCAGTCAAAACCTGATCAAACATATACACAGTATGTGTACATGTATTTGATTCAATAGACGTTATCCAACTAATTACCCAAATAAAGAGAGAGTTCCAATTAAAGGGGCATAACTCTTACACTATCTATCGTTCCTTGTACACCTATCAAAGAGATATACATAATAGCATACCCAGAATGTGTCAGTCATTGGTTACGCAATGTAAATCAAGATTTATTTATTTATTGATGGAATTAATTCAAATATTTTTACCTGTATTGTTGCAATATCACAAATTTCTTAGGACGTTTGCTATAGTTGCTATTGACATGTATATAGTTTTATTCATATATTCTACTTATACATTCTGTCAGGTTTATATGCGTTTTATTTGTTTTTTCGTAAAATGCTCACGATGGCTCCCAAATATTCTTACAACAATGTTGTGTTAATTGTCATAGTTTCACTGTTACCTTTGAAATGGTGTTTTTATTTTTGATACATGTCCATAAAATTTATAACTGGGAGGTATTATGGTATGGTTTCTGTCCGTAGCTCATTTAAATTTCAGCATCTTCAACACAGATAGGTGCTCATATACATTTGTTTTTTATTTTTGAGAATTAGAAAAAAAGTATGTCACTATAAAATTTGTAATGATTCTGACAATCTTGTATACACAGACATGTATATAACAAACTTTCAGTTTGCAAGATTTCGTTTTCAAACTGCCTGTTAATATTTACTGTACAGTTACGTTAGAATATTTCAAATGCATATGATTTATTTTTCTTTGTAAATTACTCCAACCCATTGACTTTTATTTCATACCTTCCATGACCAAGATAAGGCAATTTTATTTGTTTTAAAGAGTAAGTTTGTTATTATATAATTAATCACTTGTTAATTGTGGATAATATTTTATTTGTTTTCATTTATAGTGCAACTTTATGTTTCAAATTGTTAGAACCTAGCATTTTTGTTTTAACAAGTAGTTTAATCAAGAATAATTTGTTCAATTCTGTAATGGAAGCCCCGATATTGAATACTTGTACATAATATACTACTTGTATCAGCACTCTGAAACTGTAAGGTCTGCAGGACTCATTGTGAGGATGAATGCAAAGAGGGCAAAGGGCAACGGACAATTTCAAAAACTCCAAAGCATCATGGGTAAGTGTCATTGCTGCCATTTTAATTTAAGGATCACCTTACCACTGTCAAACATGTTAAGTAGGCATTGGGAACTGTTTTTCTGGCATGACTGTAGCTTTGGGGAAAAAATAAAGATGAAATCAACAACAGTATTCCGAGTTTAAAAAAATCACTGTGGTCAATCTAGACCACGATTTAAACACTGAACTGCCGATAATTATATATATGATACCGTGCTCTAGCCAACTGACCACGAGCTACCAGGTCAATGGAGTTAAATTCCAAAAGCATTGAAGGGGAGGTTACTCTATGCACAATAAACTACAGTGGAGTTCTCTAGTGTTTTTTGCCTGCAGTGCGACAGAGATCCTTAACTGTGCAAGTGATGAAATGATATTGACATTATGACAATATATCATAGTATGTTGTAGATATCTTGCACGTATGTGAAAAAACCAATGGCCTTCAAGCAAGACTGTATTTAATATACATATTAAATTATCATCAGAATTGTGAAGGTAAATCTTAGACTGAATTAAAAAATACTACAAACCAGATGACATCATCTTCATCAGTTTGGAAATATGTAATATCAAAGTTTTACTATATGCACAAATTGTCAAAGCATGACTCAGTCGAAGCTTGACAAAGGGACCAGTCGGTCTTGAAACGTTGGGACATATTTAATACACACATTTGAGTTTTCAAAACTCACCATTCCTTGCAGCAATCTCAGAATTTGTTTATAATTCATGTGATTACTGAGTTTGGTTGATTTACTCACAGAGTTTTGAATAGGATTTGAAGGTCTTCATTATATCTACTTTGTTTATAATTCATGTGATTACTGTGTTTGGTTGATTTACTCACAGTTTGTAATAGGATTTGAAGGTCTACATTATATCTACGTTGAAGTGCAATACATTTCTGGGTTTTATTTTTTCCTACTTATTTTTCTTTTCTGTAATATTTATAATTTGCTTACATGTAATTTAAATGGTGCCATCATTCTGATTGACTGTTCATAACTAGATGTAAGATGCTAATATGCTATTTCATTTCATTAGAGAGCTGGATGTATATTATTAATTTCATTCATAGAATTTGTTTTTAAAATGTTCTATAGATGACAACAAAAAATCATAGAATGAGATGTGTTTTATGTGAATAAAATAGTTTTTTTGTTTTCTTTAATAAGATGATGAAATTCAAATTTGCATGGAATCGATAATGAAATGAATGTGCAATAGGCATAAATGCTTGAATAGATTAGACCATCAGCCTGAGACAAACATCAGTCGCACGCTGTACAAGTACTAAAACGTATCATACATGTACCTAGGCCATTTCATTAACCTGGTGGAAATGGTTCAGATTACACAGAAATGTTTTTAGTCAACAAAGAACTTGGACATTTAGGCAGAGCTAACAATATACAGAGTTTTGGAATTTTCTGTCAAATAGATAGTATTAAAAAACCAAGAAATCTCTGTGCTTCGTTTTCCCATGTATTATATTCTATATAATTTCCTAAAATATATCTGTATCTGTATGGAATACACTGCTAGATCCCAATTAAGGTAATATTGCAGCGGGATATGTGAATCAATTAGCTTGTATTATATAGAAATACTACACACTAGGGATAGTAAGCCATTTAGTTTTGGACTGATGCGACTAACCACTTGAAATACAAGTGCGAAATCTGTTTTTGTCTCCTCTCGATTTGTGCTGTTGTTGCTTTAAATGAAAGTGGCCCTGGTAATACACTATAACTAAGGTCTAGACTTGCTATAGTCAGAGATTTGTTTTAGAGACAGGGCTAATCAACTAAAGCACCTGAGAAACAGTAAAGATATCCTTTATATATATATATTTAGAGGCTGTTTTTATTTATCTGATGAAACCCATCCACTGCCTTTAGCTATCATTGGTGATAAATTAGATAAACGGCATGCTATATCAAGATTATGCTTATTGTAATATTGTCTACACAACAATACATTACATTGATGAACTGGGTTGTGTCTTTCATTGACAAAGTTGTCTTTATTGTTTTTTGTAAAATGTATATTGCAATGTAAGGTTTTGCATATAATAATTTCTTTCATCTATACTTTCTTGAATTCAGCCAATTGTGTATAGTGTATAAATGTATTTTCTTGGTTATTTTACACTGAAGCAGTGAAGGACCTATATGTCAAAAATTTCCTGATATTACATGTACCAGACTAATTTTATGTGTATACTAGACCATTGATTGGTATTAAAGAATCTGTGTTACCAATAAATGATATGTTGAAAATTGATTGTCATTCAATGATTTTTCTTTCCATATGTTAACACTAGAGCCGAGATACATTTATTCCAGTAGTGGTGTTCTGGGAGATTTTAGTTAAGTCTTTGCAGCAGCTAAAGTCATTACCCGTTAATATTGAGGTCACTCAGGGGTCAATCACGCTGAAATGTCACATGATGCAGCATGTTGTACATGTATACTGAAGCAGCTAGGACATCCATCATAGGAGGACGGCAAGGACTACACTAAGGACGTCGTTCAGTGCAGTAGCTGTGACGGCCTGTCCGCATATGAGGAGCTGTCCGACCTCAGAGCGTGACCTGGATGGGCAGGACTTTTGAATCTCCGAGGGCCCGGTAAGCGGCAATTAAGCTTACCCCCTCACGTCGATCAAACACTGACTTTGTCAGTGAAGTGTAGACAATAAACCAACCAACCAACCAACTAGGACACCCACTAGTCTCGTCCTTAGTGTTGCAATGGTGACAGAGCTAGCAAATCAGTTTTAGAACTTTTGGTGTCCCCATTAAGACATAAAAAAGGAAACGCCCAACTCAGCAAAGACTGTCGTATTTGTTTATTTGACTGGTCAATTTATGAAAAGTGAAATTTCATTGTTGAAATTAGACACATTATAAACATGTATTATGTTAAATCAAGGCTATGATTCAAGTATTCCTGATAGAAGATCCCACTCTGATGAACTTGAAAGAGTAGAAACAGTACTGTATGGCGTTATTACCAGTGGAGAGGCACTGATAGAAGGTAACACTTACAGCGTACCTAGATCATGACTACGATACCGAAAACTTTGTAGTCAAATCACTTTTCACATAGAACGTAATTCATAACCAATGTCTTCTATTTCTGTCCATAAAGGCAATACAATAGGCCAAACAAATAAAATGGGTTACATTTCATAACTCTTGCCAAAATGTATTGGATTGGAAAAGTGAAAGAAAAGTTAAATATTCTAGATGCTGACGAATGGTACAAATCGGTGTGGATTGATAGCTTTAATGCAAATGGTAATAAATTAAGAACCTACAGAGCGTTTAAATCAGAGCTAAGACCTAGTTCATTTGTCAAACCGGTTCGCCAGAAAAGCAAACGAAGGGTGCTATTTAATTTTAGATGCGGCTTGCTACCCCTAGCAGTTGAAACTGGTAGATTCGCCAAACCGGTGATTCCTCTTCAAGAACGCATATGTAAATTGTGTACAAATGTAAATAACTGTATAGAAGATGAATTCCACTTTTTAATGAAATGTACTGTGTATAATGATATTAGATCAACTCTATTTGATGTGGTAAAAAACATATGTACCGATTTCACTAATCTTAGTGATGCAGACAAATTCAAGTACTTAATGTCTTCTGAGGAACTACAAATACCACTAGCAAATGATTTGTATAACATGTACAGACGACGCAGTTCTTTGTGCGTCTAGTATTTTACTACAATGCAAATAATTAATTAGTGTCTCGTAAGCCGTATCCGGCTGAGTATCACATTAAATTACATGTTTTATTTAAAAATACATTTTTTTNCACCTGTTATAACCATAGGTCATAGACCTTGAAATATTATTTAATTTGATAATTATTGATCAATACTAAAATTTTGCCCTTTTAACCGTGTTTTAAACTATTAAATGTAACCTTAAGAAGGGACCTCGAGAAGCCCTTGCCGGTAGAGCTCTCCCCAACCGCTTGGAGCCAATCGATTTCTCAATTACTTTTAACCTGTTATTCCTTTTTTTAAACTGATAAGAAAAAAAGAAAACAAAAATTAAAGTTACATCGTATGATTGCAGTAGCGCAGAGCGACCTAGCTGTCTTCGCTGGTAGGGCTCTCCCCAACCCTAAGGTAGCGCACTTTGACTCACTGCAACCTACATGTTAATAATAATAAGAAGGGTAGTCTCACAATAATCTAATGTCGATATTGATCCCTATTACAAGTGTTTTTTTTTTTATGTTAAACAAACTATTTTAAGTTCTAGGAAACAGCCAACTGCAAGTATTTTATATGTACCAATAGAATTGATTTATATTTTGTACAAGTATTTTATATGTATTAATGAACATAAATGTAATTGTGATATGTGACACTTAAATAAACAAATTGAACTTGAACTTGTATATGTACATATATAAACAGCTCTGTCAATATATTGTACTTATAGGGAAACATTTTTTTTTTGAAAGGTTGGCACGACAGGAAAAAGAGTTAAGAACTGAAACCTGAAACGTATTTTGTTTGTTAGGCCTATTGTGAAATGCTACACAAACAAATAACTGTTAAATGTATCAAGCACAAAACAAGATCATTACACAAATCATACTTTATTACACAACCAGGAAGTGTCTGGTAATTGATGACCTGATCATATACAACAATACATAAAACATTTTACAAAATAAACAGATTAATTACCATATTTCCTGGTAAATATAAAGGGGAAACAACATGATTATTGACATTATTTCCGGTTGTAAAGTATGGTAGAAGTCATATAAAATAAAATTTGAGTCGAAATCCTTAAACATTATGGATATACATTCAAAACCAATTTCCTAGTCATAATTTGATGAATGGGGGAAAAAAGGGAAGAAATTAATATCACGATGTCGCCATAAAAATACAAGAAGAGAAAAGTTTTTGTAAACAATTTCCCTTCCGGATCAATAAATAGTAAGGAATGTTTAAGATCTTAAAAAAAAAAATCCATGTAAGTTTTTCCAAAAAAGAATTATTGGAGATGTTTAACACCAACATATATAATGTTTTGTTATCACAGTCTTGAAATGGAAATATATTTCTAAAATCACATCTACTTCTTTTTCTTCTTCTTTCCTCCCTTCTTTTTGCCCCCCTTTTTGCCCTTCTTTCCTCCCTTGCCACCGCCTCCATCATCATCATCAGCAGCTGCAGCCTTAGCCCGCTTCTTACCGAGAGGAGTCTTAGCATACCATGACTGCAGAAGGAAAACAAAGCTTGTTTGATTTGTATTATGGATATATGCAAGCCTGATTAACACTTTAAATGGTAAGTCTGTATTGTTAGATGCTAATTATTATAAGGGAGATAACTCTAACACAAATCAGACAGGTATAATTTATGCAAGGTAGCCTATTTCCTTACTAGAGTCAGTGTGTTATCTGTGAAATCAACTGGCTTAATCACGGAGTATGAAATATTGTTTGTCTTCAAAACAATTGGTCTATTTTTGTTGTAACAGCTAGCTTGCAATTATTATTTATACTTTAATAAGCAATATTTAGACAATGTCTGCATTTCTTGAAATCTGATTGACCAAGAGGTCATGTGGTAGTCAATAATAAGAACATATATATTGACACAAAGCATTATTTTTACAATCAGCAGGTCAATATCCCCTTTATGACATCTCAATTGTTACATCACTATGCTCTCGGAAAAATTCAGTACTTTTTTCTTGCCAATTTTTTATTCCATCTCTCCCCTTTCTTATTTAATATAAAACATTGAGGGCTTATATTTGAGTAAATATGTGGTTATATGAACTTTAAAAGTGATTTTGATTGTGAGAAATATCTTTTCCTCAGGTCCAAATAACCACAGACTCACCTTAACTAAAGTCCAAAATTGATCATTATTTCATAACAAAATTTGTTTCTGTTCAAACCTATTTAACATGGTATCTTCTTCTTTTTTCAGATTTTTCTTTGGTTTTATTTCAAAACATTAAATTTGAATGGATTTGATATTGTAAAGGGTATATATATAATATTAATGTGAATCTTTATACAGCTTACCTTGAAAGATTCCTCTTCCTCCTTATAGATTGGATCGATCCTGGCGAGAGGAGCGATGAACTCCACTGACTGGAGAGGTTTCTTGGACAGTGTTTGTATCCGCCTTTCCGTGAGGACCTGCTGTACTGCTGTGGCCAAGTGACCTGGCGTGTATCCGTCCGTGACTTTCGACAATGAACTGATGTCAAGGTTTGCGGTCAACACACCATTGTTTTTCAAAATAATCCGTCGCCATAACACTGAAAATTAACGGGCGATAATGAAAATGATGATATCCTCTGGGCCCGTATTCGTGAAACCGTTCTCATGCTCAAGCACGGATTCTGTGCTCAAGCAAGCTTTCTTATATCTCACCAGAATCATGTCAATGATCAAAAAGTTAAATTTAAATATTGAAAACAGTATTCGACTATAAGTCTCTTCAATTTTTGTCCCAAACTTAAACATTTTTTTTTTTTTAAATAATTTATAACTGAAACAAGAAATTAGACCTGAGCACAAAATCCATGCTTGAGTGAGACACATTGCTTTTCAAGAAATTGGTTACATTTATTTTTTTCGCGAAATGTAATTTTTTTCGACATTAATAATTTTCGACAGCCTTAAAGGTTGAGCACTCTTTGACAATGTAGATAACGTTTTATGTACAGAGGATAAACTTGTCAAAACCAACGATCTTTGACCAATTTCAACATTAAGAATCAACAGGGCCTGACTATTGAAAACCTGAAAAGCTTAACCCATTCACCCCTGAAGACACATTTGAACTCTTCCAATGCAAAGGTTGGAATAGTTTATTATGAAATATCAGGGGTGAATGACTTAACAACAGTGGAACCTAATAAGATACCTGGTGTATCCAGGTTTCTGTTTAGATACGTTTTATTAGACACGGCAGCCATACTTACAGTGCCGCGAGGCATAGTCTGGACGAGGGATGAGAATAATTCTCTGGTAACAGCTGGTCAAGGGTTTCATCTCCCCGTCAAATGGACAGCGCGATGTTCCCACCAGGAGCAAACGATCATCACTTTTTATTGTCTTCAGTGCTTTAGGAAGTTCCTTCTTTAATCTCTTAGGATCAGTCTGGAAAAAATTAAACATGACCTCTGAAAATATTGCCATAACTTGATTTCAATGAAATCAGAAATCACTTGTATTATTTAGGGTGTATTAATGAAATATTTACTACCACAGACTAGAACACTAACAGGTCAGCAAGTGCCCAGCCTTGAGCCTGACCAATACCCGTGTGGTCTATTTTTAGCAAGAGTGACCTAGACCATAGAAAAATTTTAAACCTCTATTTCACATTCGAAAAGATTCAACTTAATATTCCGAGATTATTGTATTCAAGTAAAAATAAGAAAGTAGTTATTGTACTTACTGGATCTGTCTTCGGCACTTTCTTTTTAAACATTCTTTCACAATCTCCAATATATATTACACTTGGCTGAAGTTCCCTTCCAACCTACAAACAGATAAACCCACACTTTTCACAAACATATTTTAAGACGTCAATGAGTTAACATATATTTAAATATCAAAAGAAAGTATGCAAAACAAAATGGTAAAATAAGGAGATTTTTTTTCTTCATTCATAGATTATACAAATTTTTGCCAGAGTCAAGGTTGTTTTTTCTTTTTTCTTTAAGTTGAAATTGATGACATGATTAGTCGAAGATTATAGTGGCACTACAGTGTATTACAGTGACAGTTTTACTTTTTTGTAGTATTGATATACAGATATTCCATTTTGTTTCTAACACAACAGCCTCTAAATGAATAATTGGTATTTATCTCTTTTGTAAAACATACCTTAAAAACTAAATGCATCAACATCTTCAGTCCATCTTTGCCAGGATACTTGCCAACAATATTCGCCGGAGACAAGTCGAACATGTTGGCTCCAGTCTCGTTACAAATTGCTTGGACCAGCATTTTTTTGCCAGTTCCCCTAGGACCGGCTAAAAGTATTGATTTTGTGAGGGGGGCTTTCTCATGGACAGCCGGGGAGCCTGAAACAGTCAACATTACAATGATTATCATTCGTTCATACACATTATTTTTTTTCATTATTAACTTTCATTCATCAATTAATATTGCCACACAATGCAATTTTTTTTTATACCTTGGAGAACACATGGATGATATTCATTAAACATACCCCATAATTAATTAATTGAATATCTATGATCTTTGCTGAAAAAGTTAAATTCCTTACAACTATATTATTTGAAAACCTTCTGTCAGAATCAGGATTTTGTTGTGAAGGGAAACGATTGGTGATTTTTTTCTGTCTTTGGCATGCTTATAATTTGCAAAATTCTAAAGTAAAAAAATTCAAAATTTAATTTTTTATTTATTTTTATAAAATCAAGTCATATTTATAAATAAACACCTATCAATAAAAATGTTCCTCTCTAACAAATGTACATTTAAGTTATTTCTATTGAGATATATATATATATACACGTTAACTCACAAGGAATTCAAAAACTGGAATCTTTCTAATATGAAATAAGGCACATCCTCAAAAACTGATCATTCAAATTACAACCAAGGAAAGTCTTTCACAGAAAGAAGTATTTCACATTATACATGTTTCTGCCAAAAGAATTGCTGGAGACTTACCTAAAGGAAGGATGCCGAACTCTGTGACGAGCCTCCTGACATCACTGAGGGAGGGCATAGGTTCTATGTTGGCCTGTCTGAGAGTGGTACCAAGGTAACTGTACTCGCCCTCATAGTCCGTTAACTTTATGTTGGGGGTCCTCACAATGATTCCGTTCATCACCATCTCCTCATACAGGGACTCAATGGTTCTGTCATACAAGTTAACATTCATACATCAGCCTCATCTATTTAGATTATTACAATTTATTGTTAAATGATAACACTGAAAGCCTATGCGAATCAGTTTGAGATAATCTCCACTCAATTAATTATTGAAGTGCTCAATTACATACTTTTTTTCTGTAAATATACTAATATTCATTTGAAAAAGGAACAAAAAAATATTAATTAGTTCAACATTATGTTGACTTTTTGTAACAACCTGAAATATATTATTATTTTCACATTTTCTTGTCTTCAAACAATAATTTCGCTATTAGAATTTATAAATTAATTCTAACAATTTTGAAGGTACATGTATCTCAATTTTAAACAATTTTAAAATTTGAGTAACTGGGGCATTTTTTTTTATTGTTATCGGACCAATGGTCGGGCCTAGAAGCTACGGTTCCCGCAGCTACTGGGGCATTTAAAAGATACTAGATTCTACACCTAGACTCTATGATTCTAAACAAATTCACATTTCGGTCAAAACTTTTGTGAAGACTAACTAGAACCTATAATCTTTAACATGTCCCAAGCATAACAAACTCTGCCAATAATTTGTTTACTATTGAGACAAAATTCTTATCAATTACCTGTCTGGTGTTAAATCCTTCTCCTTCTTCTTCTTCTTGCCTTTCTTTCCACTTTTCTTCCCCTTCTTCTTCTTCTTTTTGCCAGATTTTTTACCTTTCTTTTTTCCCTTGTCTCTGTCTACAGCCTGTTCAAGTAACATAATGTGTAGTGTTGGTTAAATATTCAGCCATATTAGTAATTAACACAGTAAATCAATCCATCTAAAGTGTATTGTGAAACAGCAAACCCAAACATAAAACAGGTGGTACACAGGGCCTGTATCATTCCAACCTTTCAAATTTTTTCATGGGGAGAAAAGTAGCGGTGGGGGGAAATCTAAGACTGTCTCAAAGTATTTATAATGGACCCTGTTTGAAAAATAACAGTGTACAATGCCATAGATAAGGGCTAGGGTTATAGGAGAGTTTTGGCCGGTATGCAATTGACCTTATAGTGTCAAGAAAAATATATTTTTTAACATATACCCTATTTTAAACTTTAATCTCTCAATACAATCTTTCATGTATTGGTCATAACAATAAATCTTCAGCTCAAGCATCAGCTGACGGTAATATGGAACATCAAAGTAAACGTTGTTGTAAAAGAGACGTTTCAATTCTATTGAACATATTTAGCCTATTCTGCATCCCAAGTCTTCTAAAATAACAAAATAATTAAAAAGTCCACAATATTAGGTACTACCGGTAATTGGTTTTATCTCGTTTTGTATTTTACTTGAGAAAAAAATTTAAACCCAAAGTAAGAAAATGTGACAAACTTACGGCTTTAAGGTTTTTCAGCTCTGTCCTCATCAACTCATCAACCTGCAGACGGATTTCCTCCTCTACCTCCTTCCGTTTCTCCTCTTTGATGAGTTCCGAGTCGTGTTTCTGTGAAAAGTTGTCTTTCTCATCCCTTGTCTGCCAGATACCTAGTTAGAAAAGAAACAATATACACCGGTACTACATATACTTTTGTAATTGTAAAATGTGGCAATTTTTTTCATAATAAACCCTAACATACCACAGTACATACGGGTATGCATTTGTATACTACTATATATAAAATGTTAGAAAATTCTGCAATGTAGGTGACAGAGTATCATATTTATCCAGTAATAAGTCCATGCTGATGCTAAGCCCACCCATATCTATTGCAGTTCAGTGTAAATGTAATAGGCCCACCCTTCTACTTTGAGTTGGAGGCTATGTGTTGGCCACCTGGGATTATATAAGGATAAGGTATGGTATGTGACAAAGAGATGCACATGTGGAGCTGACAGAGTGCAAACCTCTAGTCCTTTATTGTATTGTAATGTCAGTGTTCTCATTAAAAGCCTGTTGCTGGCAAAAGTTGCCTGCTTTTCAACAACTTTGAACTGGCTATTGTATTAGAATATGGACAGGTCAATATTACAGCATGTGAACATTCAACTGACTTAATCCTTCAAAGTCAACCACCTACATCAAAACTAGAGAACACTGAATACTTGTTAATATATGAAATATGGACCTTTGTGAGGGTGTATATGGTGTGATATAGTGAGATATGAACATGAAAAGTTATACTGGCCTATTTTAAGATCAGGGTACTTGTATCAACCATCGATAACTTTTATTTTTGGGTTGGTGGATAGACCTGTTGTCATTTCAAAACTGTTTCTCTAATGTGTTAATAGGTGATGGGTGGTCAGGTGATGCAGCGGATAACGTACTCTCCTTCGCCAAGGCGATGTGGAAAGGTATGGGGTCACCTGGGTACTCTGGATTCCTTTACATTAAGACATCCACTAACATACAGGCCAATTAACAAGAGCGCATGATTAATTTCAGTTGAAATAACTTGTTTCATAAGTGTTGTAAAATAAATGAAATTGATGTTTAATATATTAATCACTGGTACTTGGGGTATAAGGCTTACCTTTGTAATCATCAGTGCCTTCATTGATGGCAGGAACAAAAGTAGAAGGGGCCATCTTCCAGCCTTCTTCCTCCTCCTGTAAAAAGGAAACAGTTGAAACTGAATAATCAAATTTACACACTCATCGTCAGCAACAATTCATTGATTCCACTGGATGAGAGACGAGATAGGATGGGAATAAATCTGTCTATCAATTATTTATAAATTGCACAGAAAAACACAACATTTTAAAAAATTTGAGGAATACAAAATCAACACTTTCAGTTTGAGTGTGATGGTGATTGGCAAATCCAAAAATATATGTGTCAACATGACTGACATCACAATATAAAAACATCTAGAATACAACGTATAGTATTGATACACTCACACGCATTGTTTAGTTGCCACCAAACACTGCAGTCCCACAGTTCAAGTGAAGGGTCTTTTAATATACGGTGTTATTAAATTTCTTTTGGCTAAATGCCACATTTTATCACAATGACCCTTTTTGAATAAGTATAGTACTTTTCATATCTTTTTGTACTTTTTCCACAATTGAAATTTTATGACATTGTTGTATATAGTTTGAAGTAGACATTTTTTTTATTTACAAACCTCGTCATCTCCTCCTTTTCCCTTCTTTCCTTTCTTTCCTTTCTTGTCTTTTTTGTCCTTTTTGTCTTTCTTGTCCTTCTTCTTTCCCTTCTTATCCTTTTTCTTACCACCACCTTCTTCCTATTGGATTAAAAATCAATTTACATATTAAAACAATGCTGCTAACACTTTTCTGAATCGAAACAAAACTGTCACAACAACCAAATATATACTCAACTTTTTTCCTACAATTAATTCTTTGACATTCTTCACCATTACAACTTAAAGATAATCTGGAATAATTAATTCTTAAAATGAAACTTTTGGGCATTAGAGTCTAGAAAACAAAATTGTTCACAGTCCACTTAGATAAAAGTTGTCCCATCAGTCGAGGCTTGGGTATTCAAAGCATGATTAGTTGAATGAGTCATAAAATTGAAACAATGAAAATGTGTTATTGAGAAAAAAAATAGATTTATAACTTATCTTTGTGTTTCTGGTTTTTAAACATTCATTTTGAATTACTTTGCAAGGATTTTCAGCATCAATATTTGATATTTTTGGAAATATAGAAGATGAAAAATCTCAGGCAATGTTTCATTAAGCTAACCAAACTTTAGGTGAAAGCAGTCTTACCTTCTCTCTCATTTCTGCCTCCAACTCCTCAGGGGTTTTCTGTTTAAAGATAGCTGCTGATCCGCCATCATCCTCATCTGGATATTCAGGGAATTTTCCAGAAGCATCTCTGTGAAATATGTGCATTTTTGACATTTTCAATTTGACTCACAAAAAAACTTTTTTTTATTTTTTTTATTTGTACCCCATGAGTGTACTTAAACTTAAGAACCTCCAAACTAACAGATCTATTGACTTGAATACTATACATAAAGATCAAAATGTTTTATGAAGAGCATGCATATTCCATATTCTTGATAATGAATTATGACTGCATCCAATGAACTCGTGACACATGTACTTAACTGAACCTGTCATACCTGCACTCAATAAACCACTGCCGAATCTGGTCCATCATCGTCTCCTTGATGTCCGGACCCTCCGTCTCCTGGATCTTCTCTTTGATGGTGACCAGAGACTGTTGGAACTCGTGTTCGTATGTGCCCTGGGTCTGTCGACGCTGGGACTCCGTCTTCAGTGCAAGGGCTTGAGGTGTGTTCTTCAAACTTGTTGGCATTGGGGGTGGAGCCTATTGAGAACATGGCACCAGATTTAACTCGTCGGAGTTCTAGTTTTACATCACGTTAAAAATCTTGTTATTATAAAACCTCAGTATAATGGGTGTTGTTTCATTTTTTTCTTACTTCTGAATCATTTTCTAAAAAGTATCTCTAAATATAATCTATTTCAGTATTTTCTATGAACTTACTAGAAATGACTTATAAACATGAAGATGATGACATGATATAAATTTCACAAACTTTGAAACTCACCATTCCAATAAACACCATTTCTTCATCTCTGTCCTTTTTTGTCCTTCTCCTCTGGGCAAAGCCTTTCCACACCTGTAATAGGCAGTAAATGTAGTATGTTCACCTCATAGTAAAAAAAACACCAAAAAAACTTAAATATTACATTAATTTCCTGTCTTAAGTTGGGATATTTTTCTTAACTTTAATGTTCACCAAGAAATTACCTGGTATATTTGAGAAGAGTTGATAAAAAAAAAAAAAAATATATTATTTTTATTGTCCTTTCTTTGTCATTTTGCCCAAGAGACCTTATTCTCTGAAAATCGACAAAGGAATTAAATACAGGGCTTACAGTCAAATTTGACCATTTATAAAATATTCAATTTGCTAGGACTCGTTTTCAAAACCACCGGCCATTCCCTTAAGACCACCTACTTTCTGTATCCTAACAGCAGCCACATCCGGATCTAGTGTGGGGGCGCCACGTGTCTGAGCCATTATCTCGCGCTCCTCCTGTTCACGGATTTCCTTCATGAACTTTGCCCTGAGTCGTCCTTGCCGAGCACGTTCATGGATCTGGATAACTCTGATTGCATCTTCTAGGGACATCTTCACTTCCTCTTTCTGCTGTGTGGGTACAGTTTTATTATATTAGTATTCAAATGTACATCATAAGATCTCAAAAACTGATTGTGCTGGTGAATTTTCACAATACTGCCTAAAAAGTCATGATAGTCAAAGTCTATCAGAGCAGAAAGAAAAATTATCTTTATTTATCAAAATATATCATGATACAAAACTTACATCTTCTTTGTCTTGTGGTCCAACTTTTGTCAAAATTTGTCCAAGCAATTTTTCTCTTTCTTTCAATATTTCCATTTTTTCATTGATGAAGTATTTAGGTATAGGGATTTCCACATCATTCTGAAAACGACAAAATCAAGGTTATGGATTACCTGTCAATTTTTAAGATTGTATAAAAATCAATAAAAAAAAAATCATTGTCAGTCTATCAGGGAAATTACTTCAATGGAAAAAATATAGATTTACCACAGACATATATTTCTGTCCAATTATTTGTCTCAAATAAAATATTTTACTAATGATTTATTGAAATCTTATCATTATGCAATCAATATGAACAACAAATTGATCAATAGTCTTAACTCATTCACCCCTGAAGACACATTTGAACTCTTCCAATTCAAGGGTTGGAATAGTTCATTATGAAATTTCAGGGTTCAATGAGTTTAGGAAGCAATTTTAAAAAATAGCATATTTTATACCGCAAATACATACCGGAGTAAGTTTCAGATCTGAGAGGACATCATCAAAGTAATGATACTCAGAGAACTCCAGATTCACCATCTCATGTTTTATCTCCAGTATTCTGCCCATTGCCCCATCAAGTACGTGACGCAGAACCCTGCGTTTCTGAGGATGTACAATCTGGTCATAGGATTGTTCAAGTTTCCGAAAAATCTGTATGTATTTTATGTACATTGTTGCCAGTAGCTGAAAGGCAGCCAACCGATCCTGCAATAAAAAAAACACACAAAGAAAATGTTAACAAGTTTTAAAAATCAAGTGAGAATCAATATCATTCAGATTAGATTTCATTTTTTTTTTAATGTTCTTGTACTAAAGATGATACAGATTTTTTAAAAGTTTCTGAACGCTCTTTACAAATTTCAGTAAAATTATACAAAAAGCTGACCATAAATACTAAATGACTACAATAGCTCAAACATATTCCAATTTGATTCAAGCTGAATTAAATTTGACTGAAGCTGACATAATAAACATAATTTGCCAATGTCTGTAATTCACTGAAATCTACTGTATGCAAACATATAGACTATATACATTGATCGTTTTTCTTTGGGAATTATACTGTAAGCATACTTCTTTTAGTTTACTAAAATTTAATGGGTTATAAAATTTTAACTTATTAGGCCTTCATTTATGAGTCCGTACAACCACAATACATGTAATATCCCCTAAAATGTGCATGTACATTAACTGTGAATAGACTTTCAGAGTTTAATATGTTGCCTCTGTTGCATGAATAACATAAAAAAAAAGATGAACAGTACAGAGATTTTTGGGACATACTTTTGTTTCCCTGACTTAGGATTTTTCTGAGGGATTTGCCTGCAATTTTAAAGCCCACTATTTACGTTTCTTCAACAGATTGGAATAAATCAACACTATTGAAAAACGGTTCAGAACTCACTTAAAAAATCTACAAAAAAGTACTGCATGATCAGCATGACTACTTACCTTTTCTGGTTTTGGGGGCTCTGGTGGTAACTCCTGCTGGAGAAGGTCCACCAAGGCTGACTCCGCCTCGGACCATTGCTTGTTGTATGTACTAAAACAAAGAAAATACAAGGTACTGACAAACATCTGTTAGGTTATCATTTACTTTAGTAAAAGAGAAGGCAAATGATTATCTGCATCCAGCCAGACCAGAAAGACTTGCAAGAGAACCCAACAAACAACTAGTAACATGTAAAAAAAAATTCTAATATACAAACTGTACAAGCTAATTTATGTTTAAACTTGAATTCCACGTAATGTCTCATTGTTAAATGGTACATTTCGATTCGAGTTTCCTAAAATATCATAAAAAAAATCTTAATACAGTACACTGTACAAACACATTATTTTTATGGTCATATAGGGATACTGTAAGTGTAACTAGTGTTTATTTTTGTTTGACACCTTTACAAGGACTGTAAATTTGTTGATGTTTACCAATCGCTGTCTACAAGTTTTAACATGACACAATACACGCATATAAGATGTTTTCGAAAACGTTTAGACCCTGCGATTCAATAGAAATTTAGTTCGACAGACAGACACCAATAACTAAAATTAAGAAGAACAGCAAATGAATGAAGATTGCTTTATGACGCTGCAATGTAACGCAAAACTAAAATCGACATACAACGACTTCGTGTTGTCATGCATTTAAACCATATTTGAATAAATCATTAACTCGAAAATAGTATGTCATACGATGAAAATATAGTTACTTACCTGTGTGACATCTTGTCAATGTACACAACTCATCTATCCGTCCACCATGTTGTTTTCATAGTACCTAGCAACGTTTCAATCTCACACATGCACGAGATTTCTTCGAGACCACAATCTCGGTCCATTCCACGCTTGATACGTCGATTTCCTGTTTAGGTTTCTGTCATTTTGGACTTGATGGTAAGTGAATGATTTCTGCATATATTTCAGCTGGAGATTTTGTATAAAGGAACAATAGAAACAAAGTGACCATTTTGCATGCATCGCAAATTATGTCATTGTATGAAATTATATTTTTTACGGCCACCGCAATGCGCTGGGCAATTTGTGATCGCTCAATCTTAGTCAGTGATGACATGCATCGTGTAGTGAGATTATACGTGGGTGTGTTCAATAGGCTAATACGATTTAGCTATCTGGCAAAGTAGCTAATTACTATTGATAGATATTACAATTCGTGTCGGTGCTGGAATGGGTACACGTATTTGTTTAGTGAGTATATCATATGTACCTTAACCTGGGTGTTGACAGTCATTGCATTTCATTCTAGAAGACAGACTACAGCAAAATTATCAACCTCGGTCATAGAGTAAGTACATGTACTTAAGACATAGACAGACATTGCGAAATTGCCAGGCATACACACATATGGAGATATTAGCCAGGTGGCATAGGACTAGTAGTTAGCGCCTGATAAGGCAGCTCCTGCGAATTCGTCAAAAAATGCATATATCCTCATTGTATTAATTGTATATCTATGTACTGTAAAGCGCTTTAGAGTGGCTTATGTTAGCTAGATAGGGCGCTATATCAAATGTTGTATATTATATTATTATGGAATTATGATAGGGCACTGTCGTATATAAACAATCATTATTTTGCTACAAAAAAGGATAATTAGCAGGGCAAAATAAGGATGATTCAATAGGAAATAGTAATTGCAGAGATTGCAGGGGTATAATGATTATCACAATAATTAGAGTGTTGAAATTATGATGATTAGCTGGGCTATAAAACAACAATAAATGTATGTAAATTTTGTAATTATTGTTATTTCCCTCAGACAATCATCTCTATTTTGTTCTACTAATCCAACACAGCATTTGTTGCTGCCAAAAGGCATAAACTCACAGCCTCCACGCAACCGCAAAAACTAAGGACTTGTAATTCTCCTTTTATCACCATTTGAACACCGTCATATAAACAAGCATTATAAAGAATCTAAACAAAAAGACAACAAGGAGAAAAACGTGTTAATATTGCTTTTTGGTCCTTTGAAAGCTGAACCAATTTGTATGGACTGAACCTCCATGTGACAAAATTTCCAGTTATGGTGTAACAATTCAACAAAAACACCATTCAAGTGTCACTTTGATAAATAAATTATATCTTCAGCCAGAACACATACAATGTACAGTCCTTAACTTACATTCATGATCAGTTTAGCTGGACTGAACAATTATTAAACATTTAGCTCACCTGCATGAAAGTCTATACTCCATATGTATTATTGGCTTATATGCCACAGAATTGATCATGATGCATCATCCATCTGCAACTTTAAACAGTCAGATGACTTGAGCAGTATATATGACTTAATCGATTTTGACAAAATTTGATGGTGATCATTAAAGGGGCGATTGACACAAAATTGATGTATATATGAAGTTTGATATTTTGTATCTCATGTGTATGTTATTTGATATAGATTGATGTACATACTTACTTCGGAATTAGCTGCAATTCTAATTTATGATTTGTATTTTTCAGTTAGAAGTCTGAAGATGACTCTTCAGTATACATTCATCGCTACTTTCCTGTACATTGAGATAGCAGTGGTCATTCTACTGTTGCTGCCGTTTGTATCACCCGCAAGGTCAGTAGTACCCCGATTGGTCATTCTCATAACATGGACCAGACCCAGATGCTTGCCAGGGCATAGTTAACATGTGAACTTGATTAAGGCCAGACAAAAAAATATATGTGTTTCCTGTAACATTTTGTTTGGCCTAACACGATACCGTTACACACCAGTTTGACTACATATACTAGCATCTGACCCAAAATTCTAAATTGGAAAATAAGGTTTCGCCCCAAGATCCATTTTACCGATACGTGTGATTTCACAAAAAGTCAGAACATGGTGCCATACAATTTCTTTTCTATATATGCTTACTTTAGGTAATCATAGCTTACAATGTGGGCATTGAGATGACTTTTGAATCATGGACAGCACCTCGACCATTGATTTTTCTGCCTACTTTCCACAGGGGCCTGTGCCTTGTGACTTTGGGAAAATATCACATACAAAATGCATGATTTTGAGAAATAAAATGATTTTTGCATTTATTTTGGGAAAATTACAGACATTTTCTAGGCAAAGTAAGGCCCCATTTCCAACACAAAAATAACTGTGGACTCATGCTTCTCTTATGGGGCCCTACTTAATCTCTCTGTAATAATGCATACTTAATTAACATTTTGAAAATGGATCTTTTATATTTTTGTCTGAGATTTTTTTTTTGAAAATTACTGACATTGTCCTTTTTCCTGAAACATGTGAAATCAAAATTCAATGTTTCCAGAAGATTTATATAAACTTGTATCCATGTTGGTCACATTTAAGTTTTCAAGATGGTTACAGTAGATATACAGTGAACCCTGTGTAATCTGACCCCTTAATGTTCTGACTCCTTGTCTTATCCAACATAATACTGTAACCCTTTTCTTAAAAAATAATACCCAACAGGACCTGTATACTCCCATATTCTTTCTAAGCTGCCCAATACATTGTGTTTCACAGGGTGTCAGATTAAACAAGTTTCACTGTATAATTAGATTAATAACATGTATTTCATTTTACCTAGTAAATGTCTGATGGTAACAATAAGTATAAACTATATATATATACTTAAAACCTCAGATGTCTAGTCACAGTTGAAATAGCTGTCTATGGTTTTCCTCCGGTATTACCCATGTAGATTGCCATCTTCAGTCAATTTATAACATGAAGCATCTAAATTTAATTTTCTCCTGTTTCCCTGCAGGTAATTCTTTTTGTTATAAAAGTGTATAGTTTTTATAATGATAAGGATAAGCATGGCAAATATAATTGTTTTCTGCTAAAAGCAAAATCTAAAAAAGCAATAAAAGTTTCGGGTTTAAAATTGAAATTTTCGCCATCAAATTGAGATGCAAATGTATACAATTAAATCACTTAATGGGAATGGAGGATAGGAAAAACTACGATAGTGTGTTTGTGAATAGTTATAATTACTGTGTAAATTGTATATATCTGATAGGGTAGCTACAGTAAGGAGGCAATTTTACCTTTGGTTTTGGTTCTAATGCATAATCTTAAATTGATAAAAGTTCAGAAGTATCAAAAGAAAGATATAAGAGTTGAAGCAAATAATTTTGCAGATGAGGAAGAATCAACACATTCTCTAAACATGTGTAATGTCCTATACTGTTATACATTGTAACAGGTAAACTGTAAATATTTCAAGATAAAATCTTATCCATTGAAAGATCTATAACTATATATACTTTCCCATTGATAAGAAACATGTTGCATGTATTTGTGACATCTCCTACCTGGTGGCTTAAAATTAAATATGAACCGGTTGGAATGTGTATATGTGTAGACATATTTTGTATATTTCCCGAGTAGCTTCCTCATTAAAAATAGGTAGTGTTTCCCTGTTTATTATTACACTGTGTAATACAACAAATGTTAACCGATTTTCCTTTCTTTATTCCAGATGGCAGAAGATTTTTCGCTCCAACATCGTGCTCAGTGTGTCAGGATACTCCTATATATACTTCAATGTGTTCATCGCCATTCTTCTGTTGCTGTTTATAGGTACGTCCGACGTAGTCAGTAAAACCTGTCTAATCTTATTGGACTATAACAACTTGCATGGATTTGACAGTGTCAGAATACACAGACTTATTATGTAGTTTTTGTAAGAAATGAGATCACAGCTGTATCTTTAATATAACAGGATGTCAGAATACTTGGGGGGGGCAGATTTCTGTTATTAACATATTATTTGGGGCGTGAATAGATAGGCGCTTTGTTTCTGTGCAATAACTGCAACAAATGTTAACCGATTTTCTTCAAACTTAGTAACAGGGTTAAGGGCGTGACCAAGTTCGATGACCACTTTCAACTTGGTACCAGGATTAAATGCCTTAAGGGCTCAACCAATTACAATGACCACTTTCTGCAGACTTTATTTGGCAGAGTTACTGCCCCTTGAATAACGAAACAGCACCATACTCACATGTTTAAACCTAACCTCAATAATGTTTTACTACAAAATGTCCTGCAAGTGGGGGATATAATTTCTACGAATTTGCGTGATTAAAAAATTGTCAAAGGCAGAGTAAAACAGATCAGCTGTTTTATAGACAGGTTGCTTATAAACTTTACTGTATATATTGTCATATACAATGAAATATAACTCAGAATATGTTCAAATTTGACCAGTCCTGGTTTTTACAAAATCAGCCTTGATGATGATGATGAGATGATGATGAGATGATGATGATGATGATCCCAGATATTTAAGTTTTCATCTGTGTTATTTTAAAAAAATATGATTCAAATTCTACAACAGTTGTGATGATTTGGTAATGTAGTCAACTGGAGTCAGTTTGAAAATATTTGAATTAATCTGGTATTTGGGTCGCTGTGACACAGATAAGGGAAGCGGTTGGAACACTAAAATTCCTATTATTAAGAGCCTTAGAATTTTGTACTATCATCGTGTGATGCTGCCATAATATTATTGTTAATAGGAACTAACCAAACCTCAAAACTTGCCTTTACAGATTCAATCAGAGAAGTCAATAAATATGCAGTCCCTGTAGCAGAGGTTGACCTAAAGCACAATCTTGACTCGGAGAACCTCGCGCACATGAAATTGTTTCGAGCGCAGAGGAACTTGTACATCACTGGATTTGCCATGTTTTTGTGGTTGTATGTACACTTGATTTTCATATGTTTTTGAAATCAATACTGGAATAAATCAATCAATCTGAATGTAAAATTAGAACAAGACAAGTATTATTGTTTCTTATACTGTCTGTACAATTAAAAGAATAATCAGTAATAATCATAATTTTTGCAGAGACATTTAAATAAAACTGAATCATGTTGCACATACTGGTGAATCTTTTGCTGAAAACTTGAAATTTAATATTTTTATACAATTGAAAAAAAATCACATTGTTTGGAAAATATGAAGTCTTTAGATATGTATATGTATTTTACATTTAATAACATTTCCTATATTGTAAAAAATATTTCAATACCGCAGCATCATCCGTCGTCTGATAAATCTAACAGCAGAACAGGCGAGGCTAAGTGCCGAGTCTGAAGCTAGTCAGAAACAGGCCAAGTCAGCTAATGACGTGGCCAAGCGTCTCATGGAGGAACAGGACAATAAACGTAACAAGGTAAGAACGCAAATACATTCCAGACATAAATTTATAAACACACATGGATTTGTAAACACACATTGGACCTACAGGTAGACATATACATGTACTTGTTATTTGCATTTTTTTTTCATTTTTTCAATTGTTTTTATATATTTTGTCTATGAAGAACAACCCCTGTTTTACCAGTGCTTGCCTAAAAATAGGCATAACATCACTAAGGTCATCAGTAAAAATAAGTGGGAGTAGCTTTGTGGGAACCTTTATTGGAATTTGGCCGAATTTTCATGTTATGGAGATTTAGAGGTTTGTTAATCATAATACACAGCATGCATTGAGCAAAAAGATTTAAGAGTTAAGTGGGAAGAATTTCCAAAAATATTTCCACATTTGATAAGAGTATTACAAGATAAGGTAGGATAACTTTATTGTTATTTGATTGGCTTACAGGCTGCTGAGGATGACACAGCAGAGGAGAAAAGTTTGGCTCAACAATTAGACAAAACCAAGGAGGAGCTAGTCAAGTTTAAACAAGGTTAGATATGTTATCAGTGATCTTTGTGTATTACATGTTTAGCTCAACACTTAGTCAAAACCATGGAGGAGCTGGTCAATATAAAACAAGGTTAGATATGTGATCTTTGTGTATTACATGTTTAGCTCAACACTTAGTCAAAACCATGGAAGAGCTGGTCAATATAAAACAAGGTTAGATATGTGATCTTTGTGTATTACACTATTAGCTCAACACTTAGACAAAATCATGGAGGAGCTGGTCAAAATAAAACGAGGTTAGATATGTGATCTTTGTGTATTACACTATTAGCTCATTACTTAGACAAAATCAAGGAGGAGCTAGTCAAAGTAAAACAAGGTTAGATGTTAAATCAGTGATCTATGTTTATTTCAACAAATTCACTTTCACTTGTGAAATTGTAAGGTTTGAATGAGGAAAATAAAGTTGATCTTGTATTTTTCATTGTGAATTGACCAATCAGAGAATAACATTAATTAAAAAACCCATTGGATTCTTGTTTGTAAGAATATTGCATGAAAGACGCTTTCTGCTTCTTTGAGAAGGAGTTTATAAATGGGTTAGTTGTGTCATAAATTGTTTGTATTGTTTTAGTATCAATAGGGTTTCAAGGTATTGCTTGCAAAAGTTTTGTTTTGAAGAAAGATTACATGTATTTTGTGAGATATGTTTTTTCTCTCGTCAAACTTATATTCAAACAAATATTTACTGGTATCCATGAAGACACATGTTTGTGTCTATAGTTTCTCACTGCAAGACTTGTCTCAGCTGTAACAGACTAACCTCCCTGCACTGCTTGTTGGCATTGTTTGGTCAAGCCTTTAATGACTTAAGTCATGTACTTTCTAACTCTCAATTTGATTTGAAACTGTACTTTAAGCGGTCTGTCCTATCTCCTCACAAACTTAAAGAGCATCTTGGCCAGATTATTACAGTTCCTGTATACTTTGTCTGGTCTCATAGCTGATGGTGTCTCAGGCTTTCTAGATGTCCTGTACTCCAATAACCTCTGATACCTCACTTTCAACAGCTAAGGTAACAGGTTCAAATCTATTCTCATACATTTGAGATGTCCAGACTGTTTCATGAAAACATGTTAACAAATGTTTCTCCCTAAAACCATGATAGGTTTCTTTACTCCCGACTCATTGAACAAATCTGCTATGAGTGGGTAAATAAAACTCCCTTGGGGAATTGGCTGTTAGGGGTCAAAGCAAGAGAAAGAAACAATAAGGGAAATAAAGTGACACTTAAATAGAAGCAGTGTTTCATTCCCTGTGATCATTCTGCTGCAGATTACAAGAAAGCCAAGCTAGATTTAGATGCACTACGCAGCCAGGCAGAGGGAACCAATAAGGAGTATGACCGTCTGCTGAAGGAGTACTCCGAACTCCAGGCAAGTACCACTGATCACCCAGTCACCATTGTTCCGAATAAAATTGGCTAGATTGTAAGGTACAAATGTAGCTGGATTACAGAGACAATTCCTGAAACACTGACTCGATGGTGGACTACAGAATTAGTTGTGACTGGATTAATTCAAAATTGTATTTCTCAATTGCATGTATACCAAAATCTGTTTATAGTCAGCTGGCAAATACATTTATATCACATACAGTTAACAGAGAATTTGAAACATGTTTTGATCATTTCTACTGCTGCAAGTACTTCTTTCAAATTATATGATAAATATTGCTTTTATCCTTCAGAAAAAATTGGGTGACGATGGATCAAAGAAAGGCAACTAGACTGCAGTGGTGTACCAGATGTGGTGTTCTCTTATCTTCGCATGTAATGGTTCTAACGGAGGACAATGAAAAGTGATGATGAGCTGTTGCTGAAGCTGGAAAGGCATTACTGGTTGTCAGAAAATTCTTATTACAATTCCATGTTGTCATTCTAGGCTCCTTCACTTTTTTGGATGCTGATCGTAACTTCCGTGGACTTCTTCAAAGCAAATTGTGATTTTCTTACATCCAGAAATTTACAGATGCCAGTGTGTCGAGCCTTTTGGTTTAGCCTGAACGGATTGTGTTGTCGTTTATCTTGGTGTTTTCATAATTAGGTGATATTCAAATATGTTTTTAACTTTTTTTGTTAATATCAATTTAATGTACTTTACTAAATTTGCTTAAAAATGGTTTCTTGTGTACTTTTTCTGATTACTTAATCACTCACTAAGAAACAAAGGAAAACACTCAGAAATCTAGCTTTTGTTTTACATAATTATATGACATTGATTTAACCGCATCATTTGAAATTTATACTTATTTAGATAACTAATTAACATTTTTCATCATTTTCTATCTACATAGATACAAAGGCATTATACTGGACAATTGTAACAAACTGATAGTTTTTTCTGATTAAATTGAAACTGTGCGTGGAGTACCCAGTCCCATGTTATTTTTCGCGATGTTACAAGGAGTAGAATTTACACAACTGTCTATGGTGCTGACATGGGAAACATGGAACTTTGTACTGGTTCTATACCAAAGACCTGTAATATCAATTTGTAATCTGTTCGCTGTGATTTGCAAGATGGGGTGATTTGTTTGTCATTGAGAGAAAATAAACTTTTAAATTGTAATGTAAATTAAAACTTCACACTGTTGACATTTTCATATATTTTCGCATTCATGAAAATTTGCACCAGATTATGCAAGCACAAATTAATTGACAAACTAAAAACACATGTTACAACAGTATTACAGATGTGAAAAAATATGCATTTGAAGATTGGTTTGAAAGTAAATACTCCATCATTTCCGAGCACAAATATTTTTATCCTCACAGAAAAAATGCAAGAAAATAAATATCAAAATATTCTTGTTGCCATACTTTGTGAAGAAAAAACACTTGATACGCAGGGTTTACATTTTAATCATTAGAAGTTACCTCCCTTATGAAATCACTAAAACTAAAAGTCATGTGACTAACCGATCTCACAGTAACGTGAACATAGCTGGAGGACCACGGCGAGTTAACCAATCAGAATTTGACATTTATCAACGTTGTATGTCCATGATTGCTTTCAGTTGGGTGTAACTATGTTCTGTATACTATACCTCTTTATAATTATGACTTGTATAGTTTCTATTTATTTATCAATCTTGTTATTGTATCTTGGCATTATTTAGAGATATCTGTAGTTGAGATATTAAGAATCAATTAAACATGATCAGAGACATTTTATACAAGAAGTGCAAATCATGACATTTATAATTTTGCTGTGTGTGTTTCCCTAGTGTTGCATTTGAAGCATTGAGACACAGAATTCTATTGAGAGCGTAAGTTCAGATTGGGTTGAAGTGAAAGCAGATTACAACATGTTTGTATTACATTACACATGTAATTAGGTTTTACTGTAGTGTACCTGAATTCATGATTCATGATTGGAATGTTTATTTTCTAAATGAAGTGCACATTTCTTTAATCCACTGATACTAATACTACTCAGAACTGTACTTTACTTTAATAAATATTTAGTGAAATTTGAAACTAATTATGATGAATTTCCTCTGTAACGTGAAATTGTTGAAGAAATACAAAATGGTTGATTGTAGATTTTAACATAGTTTTGTAAGTGGGAGAGGTAGTCGAGAGAGAGGGCAGGGCCATTTTACAGACATTGCATGCATTGATTATAAAAAAAAAAAACGAAATTCACACAGAATCAGCTCATTTTATTTTAGTCATCTACATTCTAGTTGTAAAATTTCCCGTCGGCTTATACATTTGTAGGAAGAAAATGTTCTTCAGTAATATTCAGCTATTGTCAAGCTTCATGTTTGTATTGTATGGGCAGTAGTGAATTCAAATGACAGAGATCAGAATTTAGGTAGTAATAGATTCTATGACATTGTAATTGACAGGAGTAATACAATGTATTGTGAATGAAAGTGGCAGATTTGAGCTCTCTATATATATATTTGCACTGGTAGATAAAGATACCTATTTAATGAACAGAAGTTCTTTTGTTATTGAGTTCACATGATTCTACAGCCTCTGTGTTTAATGTGTTTTAGTAATAACAGGAAGACAGTGACCAGGTTCAATATATTAAACAGAAGTTATGCTACATGTATTAGTACATTACATGTACTACCAGTGACCTAATTGGTTAGTGCATAAACCACAGTATAAATCCCCTAAATATGATTTGACGTCTATGAAACCTGGTCAGAAATTCAGACAATTTATATTAGATAAATGGAGGCCTATATTAATAGATATCAACAGTCTCTTTTTAAGAGTTGTGTCCCTTTTCATGGTTATTGTTATATCTCGTGTACTATTCAGAGCAAGGATTCCAAAGTTGGTGTAAGGAAACACGTTGGTGGGAAGGAGTGCAGTGTATCAGCAGAAAGCCATTGTGATCTAAATCTCAGCATGACCTATGATTTGGTTTATGAGTACAGGGACTTCAAACTTGGTATGAGCAACACCTTGGGGAGAGTGAGTGCGGTGTATCATAAATAGGTCCCTCTGTCAGCAACTTTCATATATTCCAACTCAAGATGCTGGACCAGCTTACTTCGACATCGACACTACATGAAAACAACAAAATATGTGCATAATTAATTAGCACATTTCATTGGATTGGTTGATTATTTTCCGTGCTTTAAGTTTTCATTCTGCAGTAGCGCAGTACTCCTGGGGCTGTGGTGTATGTTAACATATTGGTCAATCTTTTGTCACTTGTTAAACCATATACTATTGCAAGGTCAAAGGTCAAGGTAAAAAAATAAGCGTTTTTCTATGGCTGTATTTCTGTAACTTTATATATGTCACACTTGGAAATGCCTTTTACTGAAGTACAAAGGTCAAAGGTCAGTGTTGTATTTTAAACTGGTGGTCCTTTAACCCATTCACCCCTGAAGACACATTTCAACTCTTCCAGTTCAAAGGTTGGAATAGTTCATTATAAAATTTCAGGGGTGAATGAGTAAATAAGGAATCTGACTAGATATTGCACCTCCGTAACTTCATTATTATGCCTGCTGACAGGTGTATCATGCACCTATCTATTGGAGAGGTAGTAAACATACTTGGAATATAGTACAAACATCCCCAACATGATTCCCCACGGTTGTAATTATTTTCTGAACGGATTTTGAATCTGATATGGCCATAGATTTTAACCTGTTACCTTAGCTGTTGAAAGTGAGGGATCAGAGGTTATTGGAGTACAGGACATCTAGAAAGCCTGAGACACCATCAGCTATGAGACCAGATAAAGTGTACAGGAACTATCCTGATCTGGTCAAGATGCTCTTGAAGTTTGTGAGGAGATAGGACAGACCGCTTAAAGTACAGTTTCAAATCAAATTGAGAGTTAGAAAGTACATGTACAGGACTATTAGTTACGGCTTGACCAAACAATGCCAACAAGCAGTGCAGGGAGGTTAGTCTGTAACAGCTGAGACAAGTCTTGCAGTGAGAAACTATATGCATAAACTTGTGTCTTCATGGATACCATAACCGTTAAAGAAAATATAAAAAATGTAAACCACAACGTCTTCCAACGCATGACAACAACACAAAAAAAGAGAGAAAGAATTGGTTAGTATTCATTAAAGCTTATCTGCATAATCATTGTTTCATTTCAACAGCATTACAACCATTTAACATTGCATTGAAAATAAGCACAAGGGGCTACAAGATATAATGGTTAAATTGACAAGTTCTTAACTTAGAAAGGGTCGGAGTTTAAAAGGATACTTAAAATATGGAACAAAGTTCATTTCTTCTAATCAGTGACAAAAATTGGATTTTCAATACTTGAAACCTCATGGTTAATAAGAAGAAGTGGATTTAAGCATTTAAGGATTTAAGGATTTAAACTCCTGTATCCTTGAGTCATTGTGTAGGTCATTGTCATATCTTGCCATACTGTGGCGTCCAGCATCCGTTCGTCAACTTTTTCTTTTGAACGACTTCTTCTGAAGAACTGGATGACCAAGGGCCATGATATTTGGCCAGTAGGTACCTGGGATGGAGTGCTATAAAGTGTCCTGCTAAAATGACATTGACCTACTTTCAAGGTCACATATGTTAAAAACTATGTTTTGTATATCTAGACCAGATGTGGGATTTTTTTTTTTTTATTACAGTAATGAGGTCAAATGTCAACTGTAAGTGCTAGCCAGAGTCAAAGGTCAATGTCGGTTAAAAGATTGAAAATTAAAAATTTAAATTTCAAACAACAATATCTTAAGAAGCGTTTAAGAGATGTAGTAATGTCTTGTGTTCTAGTTACCAAATTTGGTCTGAAGTTACCTATACGTCAGTTTCATGTAACAAAAGAAACTGGTGAGCAATACAGGCCCTCTGTGCCTCTAATGTTTCTACAAATTTTATGGCTCTTCAACTAACCAAGCTACAAAGCCTATATCATGACCTCAGGATTAAAGGTTTGTGGAAGAAGTCACTTGAACTTTTAACACATCTGACTTACTGTTGCCTTGTTCATCATCTTTGACAGAATTTACTGATGAAAGATAGTAAAAAGCTAATCGTATATTCAGCTATTGGAACTATTTAGAGGTAAGAAAAGAAATTTAAAAAATAGATGAAATTCTTTATTGAGTACAATATATAAACAAAGAAAAGAAAACATGACTTGGTATTCAGGTGAGAAGTAAAGGGTATTTTGAAGAATATTTTTTTTTTCTTTTTTTTTTCCAACTTGTCTTTCACTTTTTAATTACACTTGACACAAACAAATATCAAGAAAATATTTTTTGTCAAAATATACAGATGTGTTTTGTTTGATCACTCTTAAACAACACCAATCAGCAATACAAACATATATAAAGGTGACTATAACCATGATAATGAAAAATTGATAAATAAAAGTCCTCTGTATTTGGATAAAAAATATTTCCCTTACCAGTATTTGTAAATAAAAAAACATAATATAAAATGAAAAGTAGTACAATAATACAGATTCAAGCCAAAATATTATGATCAAACACTAAACCAAAGACCCTTTTGCGAAGTATATAATAAAAAGAATGAAATATATATACTATAACAACGGGACTTTGATCTTATCTCATTCCGTGCTATAACTCTTTTTTTTTTTTTTTTTTTTTCT